AGATAATAATCCAAACAAAACAGGAAAACTCTACAAATTTACTACTGAAAACTACACATCGACAAATAAAAAAGAAGTAAACGACATTACGTAAATAAACACGTACGAAACAAAACCCCCAGTGAGACTCTGAAATATTTAAATGATTTGTCTTGTGGCGATATCGAATAGGTCAAATGACGTCACAGGCATATCAGAATCCACAAACGTTCCGTACTGAAAAATTCAATAGTCTATTAGTTATTTATTGATGGATTTCAAAAATTCTTTGCATGATTGATTATTTTTCATCTATATTTCAAGTCTCTTACGTTGAATATAATATTAACAATATCATGAAACTTCTCCATTATTCATAAGGCACTAGTAGTCATTGGAAATTGGAAATACATCAAAAGTGAATGCTTGAAGATGTACATAAAAAAGATATCATATTTTCTACTAACAAACTTTACAAACTTGCGAATGGATAATATGTGCCAACATTAATTTTTTGTATATCACTTTTCAATTTTGCACATTGGAATATAATCCGAAATGTTAACGAGCATTTAGAATTTTCCATCAGAAAATCTATTTGTCTTCCTAGCTACTACTTGATCGGAACAAGATGAAGAATTAAATCTCTAGAATGATGAAACGCAAATCACTTGGAACAATTTTTAATCAAAACAGAAAATGCATAAAAACTACAAGTCGATGTCACATTTATAAATAAATAAATTGAAATAAATAAAAGAATTTACGAAAGCTCATTACAGGCTTTGGTCTTTTTGCGATTATGAAATCATATATCCATTAGAATTAGAGGAATTTTTCACTGAACTATTTTTAAGTCAACAAGCACTACTTGTGAAATATTATTGTACCTAGACCTGACAAATATATATTATTTTTATTGTATATGTATATACAACACATGTCAACAAAATAAAGCTTTCAACATTGAAAATAGCCTCTTATTGCTATTAATATTAAAAATGTAAATATCTGTAACATGCAATGAATATATTTCGAAATATTTATATGTATACATATACATATACATATATATATATATATATATATATATATATATATATATATATATATATATATATATATATATATATATATACAGAAAGAAATTATTGGGTTTTCTGGTTCTCGAAAATATTTATTAAACATCTATATCACATAACGTTTCGGTCCTTTTCTTGGGCCTTTTTCAAATGAAGTTTCATCAATATATTGTCATCAACGCACAAACAAAAACAATACTTATTATTATACTACGAACCAATATTCAAATGAAGAAAGGTTTTCAAAATTTGTTATATTTCTATATATATTTATCTTATTTACACACGATGTCGTTCACGTTCAGACAAAGGATAAATATATATAGAAACATAACAAATTTTGAAAACCTTTCTTCATTTGAATATTGGTTCATAATATAATAATAAGTATTGTTTTTGTTTGTTGCGTTGATGACAATATATTGATGAAACTTCATTTGAAAAAGGCCCAAGAAAGGACCGAAACGTTATGTGATATAGATGTTTGATAAATATTTTCGAGAACCAGAAAACCCAATAATTTCTTTCTGAAAATATAAATAAAATGGTTCAAGATAGCAATGAATATGAATATATATATATATATATTTATATATATATATATATATATATATATATATATATATATATATATATATATATATATATATATATATATATATTAAATCTTGTATGGGATGAACTCTCAACCGTTATTTATATGAGAGTTGAGGTAGTCCAAAAGATAACAGTGTAAGAGAACTGATTATGCAATTGTATTGAAACGGGATTACATTTATTTGAAAATGTTTGATTGATTTGCTAATTCCTGAAATTTTTCATCTGAAAAGTGGAAAAATTCACTTAATTTTTCGACGAGAAAATTTTGAGAGCATTTCGACCTAAATCAGTCAGTTATCTTGATTGTTATCTAACAATTTTGATTGAAATATTTAAATGAATATGTGAGATTGAATTCTCGCTTAACTCTTGGTGAAACATAATTGAATATTAAAATAAATTAAACTCTTGGCTTAATGTTTCACGATTTATTTAACAATATGTATAAACAATATGTATTTGAATCTTGAAAATGAGCTAACGCTCGAAACATGTTGACTATACATATTGTTAAATAAATCGTGAAACATTAAGCCAAGAGTTAAATTATTTTATTATTTAATAAATGAATATGTATTTATTGATGGAAAATACTCGAATATTCAAACTGCCCATGAAATCTCTATGATTTAATTTATCATCAATAAACACATGCCAAATATTTTCAAGAGTTTAATTGAATCAATGTAAAAAAATTGTGAAATTTGTTTGTTTTGAAAAGAAAATAGATGAGTATAAATTTGAAATATAGAGAAACGTCTCAGGATTACTCACTCAATCATCTACAAATATAGATAAATATAAATAAATGAGATATCGTTATTAAATACTGTGTCGAATGAACTCATTATTTTAATTCAACAAGATTTTTAGAAAATTTATTTGAAATGAAAACCTTTGAACTCACATTTGAGGATCCATACCAGAAATACACTGAATATCACAATCACGGTCATTTGAACAAAATATTATGAATCCAGGATACTCAACGAAACTCGTTTCTGTATTGTTGCTACAGGAACATGCGCTTTAATAACAGGTCTTTGCTATACGTGTACTTGCAGAGATATAGTTAATTAGGAGTATTTTCAAATAACACAAATGTTTTCTTCTTTCCAATAAGTCGAAGTATAGTGAATTTTACAACTACTCAATTTACTTCACGAGATAATATAATCAAGGTTGGGGTCATTAAAAATAATTTGACCTCTACTGTCTTAGGTTTTATATACAATGAAGTGTTGAAGTCTATATAATAATGAATAATATATATATATATATATATATATATATATATATATATATATATATATATATATATATATATATATATATATATATATATATATATATATATATATATATATATATATATATATATATATATATATATATATATATATATATATATATTAGGGTGGAGCACGAATGTATGGCGAAACTTTTTTTCAATATTTTTGATTTCTAAATGGGGGATTTATGCCTTATGTAAAAACATGAATATATGCCAATTTTAGTAATTATTGAAAATTTCTTTTTACCTCCGAATCGTCTCTAAAATTTCGAAATTCTTGAAAAAACTTACTTCTTCGTTCAAATCTGTATTTAGTGGAAATTACGGAAAAATGGATGTGAAATAATACACAAAGCAATAATCAGAAAAGTAAGTATGTAATAAATGCAAAAAGAAGTAAATGTAACATATAAAAGAAATGCTAGGAACACCTTTTAATTTGGTTTGAAACGACATTTTGTATCAAATTTTGGCATTTGGGCTCTTGACTCTAATTTTGCCTTCATGGCACCTAGTCGCGATTTTTTCGCGACTAGGTGCCATGATTTAGTTCGCGATTTTTTCTATGTACACTGAGACATAGCAGCTTCTGTTGTGATCTTCACGGCTCGCTCTACAGGCTGGGTATGGCACGAAAGACGCAAAAATGATAGCTGGCCCTCGCCACCAGACCGAACAATACAGGAAATTTCTTCTGTCGACAAGTTTTTAAAAATTGGAGGTTCAGTTATCTCGTTTTGCCAATTCATCTCGATATAATTCGATGCATCGAAATTAATTTTTGGTACAGCAAAAAGCCTTGGAGCTTGTACCGCACTACTACGAGCCTTCAAAATACGCCGGGCAGCCAATTCACGTATATGTTTCCTTTCGTCGGTTATCATAGCCAATAATACATTCTCAGCATGCGCGAAATATGCGTTCCTTTGAATTACAGTGTCAACGATACCTTTCAAATCATCTGGTAAGTATCTTGAAGAATATATTATATTGAATAAATGGCGGGAACCATCTTTACAAGAAGGTTTACTCTTAATTGCGAACCAGGAAGACGCATATACTTTAACAATAAATGTAGTTAAAGTAACCAAGGCAGATGTTGGGTTTTCGGTAGCGACATAAAGGCGCAAAAGTCTATTTGCACGCGTAAGCCAGCGCGCATGAGACAATTTTCCTGGAGACTTGTGTCCTAAATCGTCAGAAAAAGTGCCTGTAATAATTGCTGAAACAATGCAAGTACTTCTGGCCTGTACTTAGATCGTTGGGCATTTCAAGTAGCATATCTCCTTCAATTATTTTATATTTTATCACCGGGAGTTCTTCACAATTTTCTAATGCTTTACCTAATGGACCATTGTAAGACTTGGGTCCTGAAGTTGAACCATCAAGATGAAGAAATAAATGACGTAAAGGTAACTCATTCATGTGCAGTAAACAAATTATCCACTGAAGTGGTTTAAGCGGTTTTTCGAGCAGCCGTATAATGCCTTTAGAGGAAAAATTGATTCAATTTTCTCAGCGCAGGCATCGTTTTTCAGTGGCTCATCAGTTTCGGAAGAAAGAGAAGAGGTGCTGATATCTAAATTAACAGAGGACGTACTTGCAATCGCCGGGCTAACAGAGCGATATTGTTGTTTTAGCTTCCTTTCCTGATTTATTAGATTTTTACTTACAGTAACATCAACTCTGCCAATTATCATTTTACATGATATATTCATTTTACATTTTTATAGCTTTACATATATATATATATATATATATATATATATATATATATATATATATATATATATATATATATATATATATATATATATATATATATATATATATATATATATATATATATATATATATATATATATATATATATATATATATATATATATATATGTAAAGAAATATTTCAGGAATTTGTTGAAACGTTACCAGATACGATTCTATCATAGTTCTATCAAAAATTTTCACTTCAATTTCAATTTGACTTGTCATCAAGATTTTCAATGAATTCAGTTTCAGATCCTTAACTTAATATATCCCCGCCGGCCTCCGTACCTTAGTCGGTAGAAGTCCCGACTATAGTGCAGTAGAACTTGGGTTCGAACCCCGCTGAAGGCATTGGTGTTTGTGTTTGTCTATGATTTGAGTAGTTTAAATAATAATGAAATATGCTGGGTAATGTACATAGATTAAAAGCCCAATGGCCGTTCGGAACCGGCGTTAAACTGTAGTAAATATATTCCGATAATAATCATTCAACATTAAAAGCTGATTTTCTATTTCCTCAATGAATTAGTTTGTAATTTGTTTTCATATTTAATTTGAATTCTGTCAATATTAAATTGAAAAATGGATAACCTTTCCTTCAAATGAATAAATATGATGGTAGTCACAAAGCGCTGTTTACGTTTTTTTTTTTGAGAATTCTTGAAGCACAATTCGAAAACTGCATTTTTTCATCGAGAATTACTGAAGTACACAAAATACAAATCCAATCGCGGCATATAAAGCTGTGTGTTATAGCTTTGTAGAAGTTAAATTTTATTTCCTGAATCAATTAGATTCAGATACTAATCTAAATATTTGACGGTTCATTCGTTTATCAATATCACTCTCAGATGGATTAAACACACAGTATCAATGTTGATTAGATATTTAATGATATAATTAGTGGTTCGGATATATATTCGGTAGGTGCTATCATAAGTATGTACCTACTCATAAGTGGGTTATTTAGAATCACATAACAATTGAGGTATAAGGGAAATCCCGCTTTGGATTCGAAATATTATTAGAAGAAAACAATGCAGAGGCAATAATGACATATTATGTTGAGAAACGCGAGGTATCTCCGGAAACTAAAACGAATTCCTAGCTGTATTCTTGTTTATTCGCATGGAATTGAATGCAAAGCCACTATATTGCGGACATGAGTAATTTTATACTGCGATGTTGAATTACTTGTTGATTTTCTCGGTGAGATCTTTGAAATTGAGAACGCAATGTATAAAAATTTAATTTTATATATAATTAGATCTATATATATATATATATATATATATATATATATATATATATATATATATATATATATATATATAGATAGATAGATCTAATCATATATAAAATTAAATTTTTATATATTGCGTTCTTAATTTCATAGACCTCACCAAGACAATCAACAAGTGATTTAACCTCACAGAAAGTGATGAAAAATATATGAGAAAATGAACACTAGAACATTCATTCGAAAAATTTAAATTAATCAAACAGATGTTACAGTAGAGCTAGATATGTGAACATTCTTTGATTAATTTGAAGTTTTCGAATGAATGTTCTAGTGTTCATTTTCTCAAGTATTTCATTTAGTACCATAAGTACAAAAAATCCTTTTCTTGTCCTTGTATATATATATATATATATATATATATATATATATATATATATATATATATATATATATATATATATATATATATATATAGTTTCAAGATTCACGAATCATTCACATTAGTAAATACTGAGAGTCTTAATCCAAATATCGATATATTTCGAATAAAACTCTCCGGCAGCTGTCTACACACATGTTGTCAAGGAGAACGAACCTATCATTTTCGAGAGTGAATATTAAGTGCGTTCGGAAAAATCATCGATATTGTTGAATGATAATAGGATATGATTGTTTCATCATTATTACGAATCATTAGTCCGTATTTAATCAATCGATCACGAATTGATTACTTTCAAAACGACCACAAATCCTATAACTGAATGAGGGGAAAATAATACTTTCTGAAAATTCACGTGATCTCCCTCTATCGAAGAGAAGAGGGAGATCACGTGAATCTGAACTCCCCCTAGCGTTCTAGATTCCTACTCATGCTTTCCTACATTAGTGCGAGTACGTGAAGCTTCGTGGACATTTCATTCGAACACCACAGAAATCTGTCTGCAATGAGTAAGAATGGTCCCATGCCTTATTGCTCCAAATCACGCCCCGGCGGGCAAAAGGGTAGCTACTTTCAAGATTCACGATTCATTCATACTAGTAAATACTGAGACTCTTAATCGAAATTTTTCAAACCAAACTCTCACGGAACTGTCTACACAAATGTCAACGAAAACACGAAGCGCACTCAATATTCACCCTCGAAAGTGATAGATTGGTCCTCGTTGATATCATTTGTGTAGACAGCTCCCTGAGAGTTTCATTTGAAGGAGATGAAGAGATGAAGATGTAGTTTCATTTGATGAAGAGATGTGTGATTTGCCAAATTGATGAGCCGTCTGTTCTGAAACTGATCGAAGATCATGTTACGAGTTATCACACATTTGATAACGAAAAAATACAAAGTGAGGGAGCAAAACCTTTGCGCATGGTACCGTGAAAGGAAATGTCGATAAAGAAGTGTCGAATATTGGTTTGTCTCAGGCATAATGTTTTCCAAAACTGAAGGCACACTCCTAGCTATTCAAGACCAGGTTCTTTCAACCCGTAAACCTGAAAAACTTCATCAAAGACCCAATAGTCAGGGACGACAGGTGCCGAAACGTTTGCCAAACATCAAAGACTACCCAGCAGATAGCAGGAAGGTGTTGCGGAAATATTAGGAATTACGGAAGTCAAATAGAGAAATTATGGCAAAGCGAAATATCTTTTACAGAAGGAAAGGTTCCCTTTTTACAAATACATTCCGGAGTCAATATTGGAGAATGACCAGCTTACACTTTACTAGAAGGAATTATAGAAGTCTGTGCTGCTTGTCACAGCAAGTAATTTCAGGATGTTTCTGGGGCATAAGGGAAATCAAAACCACCGCCATAAGTGGTTTCCCTCTAATATATAACATTATAATCCCTGTAATATATAACATCTGTGATAAGTGATAAGAAGAAAAGGTCCATGTGAGGGAATATGAAAGCCTTCGGTAAATGAATTAATTTTCAATTTGTATTTTATTCGAAAATGTGAACCCTCATCATTCATAAGATCACTAACATAAGAACATGATAGGAAGTTCACTATGAGTTTCACTCCCAAGTTTGACAAACAATCCGTAGTAGAACGAATCTTACAGTACCTAGAGTTTCTAGTAATATAACAAGGAAACGTCAACAAAAATAAACTTTTTCATATCAAAAAAAGCCTGTTATTGCGAAAAACTTCCAAAATGAAATATCTTAAACAGGCAATAAATCAATTTCAACAAATATATATATATATATATATATATATATATATATATATATATATATATATATATATATATATATATATATTTAAAAATCTAAAATAGACACTGTCGGCAAATCCCGCAATTAGTAGCAGCCGTTGAGACGTGTTTCAAGCTTATTGGCTCTCCTCAGAATGGCGTCGCCAAGTTTAAGTTGTAAGAACCTGGAGATGGAGAAACAAGAGGAAAATAGACTCTGCACTGAAGGAAGTCGACACATTTTAGGCTACTGCGTTTTTACTCTCCGGGTTGGGAGATTTGAAAAAACTCCTTCGCCCGTGAGGCGACTATTTATCCTTCAAGGATTTCTCTAGCCAAGAAATTATACAATATATGAATAATGTTCATTGTATCATATACATTATTCATATATTCCTCGGCTAGAGGAATCCTTGAAGGATATATAGTCGCCTCTCGGGCGAAGTAGTTTTTTCAAATCTCCCAACCCGGAGAGTATAAAAGCAGTAGCCTAAAATGTATCGGCTCATCAGTTTCTGAAGAAAGAGAAGAGGTGCTGATATCTAAATTAACAGAGGACGTACTTGCAATCGCCGGGCTAACAGAGCGATATTGTTGTTTTAGCTTCCTTTCCTGATTTATTAGATTTTTACTTACAGTAACATCAACTCTGCCAATTATCATTTTACGAGCCGTTCTTTGGTCAATTAAAAAAGCTTGTACGTTTAGGGACCTTCTTTTCTCTTGGACACGTGCGATAGTTAAAATCTTTGCATTCACAAGCTGATATATCAAAAAGTAACTTTTTATTTTTCATAAAATTTTCTAAAGTTTGCTGGGAATTCTTTCTCATCGACTTAAGAAGATTTTTTCGCTTCTCGTGGTAAGTTTTTAACATTTGTATAATTGTGGTACTTGTCACTGTTGGTAAAGATGCCGCTTGCCATTTGCTCTCGATTTCAGGCACAATTTCTTTAACCCACAACATTCACCAAATAGTGGGCATTTAGAAGCACTACGAGTTTTTTTCATATTTAACAAAAACAATGTTTTAGGTTATGTTTTAATTGCGCGCGAGCAACAGTTCACCTCGAAAGACAATAGTGCACTGCCCCGTGCGGTCCACGCGCGAATTGTCCGGTTTGCACCCCCCCCGCACTCCTTGTTCGTGCTTACAGTACCTGATTTTTATTTTTTATTGTTAAAATACAGTATATTTCCAATTAATTAATATAGTCATACAGAAAGAAAGATCAAGATGTTATAGAAAAAATAAATCACTAACTCCTGCATTCTAGTAATATAACAACGAAACGTCAACAAAAATAAACTTTTTCATATCAAAAAAAGCCTGTTATTGCTAAAAACTTCCAAAATGAAATATCTTAAACAGGCAATAAATCAATTTCAACGAATATATATATATATATATATATATATATATATATATATATATATATATATATATATATATATATATATATATTTAAAAATCTAAAGTAGACACTGTCGGCAAATCCCGCAATTAGTAGCAGCCGTTCAGACGTGTTTCGAGCTTATTGGCTCTCCTCAGAATGGCGTATCCAAGTTTAAGTTGTACGAACCTGGAGATGGAAAAACAAGAAAGAAACAGACTCTCCACTGAAGGAAGTCGACACATTTTAGGCTACTGCGTTTTTACTCTCCCGGTTGGGAGATTTGAAAAAACTACTTCGCCCGTGAGGCAACTATTTATCCTTCAAGGATTCCTCTAGCCAAGAAATTATACAATATATGAATAATGTTCATTATATCATATACATTATTCATATATTGTATAATTCCTCGGCTAGAGGAATCCTTGAAGAATATATAGTCGCCTCTCGGGCGAAGTAGTTTTTTCAAATCTCCCAACCCGGAGAGTATAAAAGCAGTAGCCTAAAATGT